CATACTGTATAATTTGTGTTTTGGCACTAAAAAAACATAATATGTGATTTATCAGACATTTGGCAATAACAGACACCACTTCCTCCCTATTAGGCTGTTAACCAGAGAGTTTACTGTATTTTATATCCTATAAATTAGTGACATTTCCACTCCAACCTATCCTGTGTTCCCTTTGCAGACATGAAATGTTTCCTGAAAACCATGATATGAATAAAAAGAACAGTATAGCACTTATTTATAACTAAATGTAGAAGAAAAGTGCATTTATAAAATAATAATGTGTAATGCAATATGTATTTTGAGACATTTTGGTATGGATTACCAAAGCTGCAGTGTTAAAGTTTGATATCTATTGTATACACGCAATATAGCAGCCACATTTTTAGGTCCAGGGAGAATTTACTTACGAAACAATGATTGCATTATAGTCAAATAGCCCAATAGCAGTGTGCAACTATAATTACATATTTACAAGGCTAATGGAAAACTACTGTATATTTTGTTTCTAAAATGGCAGAATTAAGTACGATTAATCATGACCTTTAAAAAAATAAGTTTCTATCTAGAAAATATATAATTTTTAATATTTTTTCATGAATGAGAAAGCTTTTATAGAAACAAATACATTCAAATGGTGTATAAAACTTAAAAATCCATCACGCTCACATAAACAAATAAAAACACAAAAATGAGAAACTCTCTTACTGACACCTTGGGATGAGAAAATATTTGAGTTTTACGTTATTATTCAGAATTAGTATATTATTCTGAGAAATTATAAATGGTGAAATAAACAAATTAGGTGCAACGGCACTTTGTAGTAAGCCCTAATTTCTATGATCTACTACAAAACAATAATAAACTGTTTAAATGCAGGAAAAAAAAAAAAAAACTTTCAGCAACTGGCCCAGCTTCTCACTGTTGCTAAATATTTGTTGCTAGAGCAGAACAGGCTCCACCTTACTCCTTTCAAGTGTAAGCCCTCAGGAAAAGGTTTCCAGCACAAGGGTGGCGTGCATTTTAAAGCAATCAGATCTAGCCTCTCTGCAAAAATGCACTCAATAAGGAAGCCAGATATTTCCTAGAAGGGCCAAGCCCATTAACTTGATATTAAACTGATGAAGTCCTGCCACACATGCTGCACACCACCTTCTCCTGTCACCAAAAAAGAAAAGACCAAGCCCGCGGAAACAGATGGTTTTCTTTACAATTAACTGTAGTCTTTGTTTGTCTCCTTTAGGAAAGAAAAACCTTTAAAATAGAAGCAATTATAGGACTTCAACACAATGTTACCCAAAAAATGTTTTATTTTCAAATAGGTTAAAAAATGATCTACACTCTTTTTGTCAGTAAGTATTAAAATGAAATATAAAGGAGCTGTTGTACTGTACTGTCTCATAAGTCCTGTGCGTCTTTGGTAAAATGGTAAATAATCTTATTCAACTTTACAAATGTAGAGAACCATTTTGTAATATTTTACATTTTTATCTTTCATTAGGCTAAATTAACCAAATAATACTGTATATTTTTAGTTTGTAACCATTCACAACATATAATGCATACACTTATGATACATATAACATTACACATATACAAAAATAGAAAACCCTATTTCTCCATCTCTCCACTAAATCAAATTTAATATCTCCCACAATACAGATATATTATGTTAAATTCTGTACCTCTAATTACATTTCAGCATTTTAATGTGCACTTTAGTCCCTCACATACAGTACAGTTGGTAAGGCAGCTAAAACATTACAAAATAGACAAAAAAAAGTAATCTAAGCAAGTAAAATAAATCTATTGTCTAAAAATCTTTGTACAGTAACCACTTGTTATACAATCTACTTGTTATACAAGTGAAGTAACATACCTAAGATCATTAGCTAATGCATGAACAATAGGTATGAAAACAATAAGTTTCCCAATCATTTACCCTACAGTAGTTACATCGTTACAGTCATTAGCAAATGCATAAACATTAGGTACTTTCCTGTAATATATGTACTAACTGTAGTACACAAGCTTTTATTATAAAAATAGTTAGAATGTAATAAAAAAGAAAAAGTAAATTGCAAGACAATCAGGATTCTCAGTAATGTTTTACGAGAGCTCACTACAGTAAAAAAAAAACCACACTACAGTACTTTTCGTGTAAACAAACATGTGTTTGCTCATCTACAGTAGCAAGGGATTACTGTGCAATGTTATAATGATATGAAAATGTTCATTCAAAGTGGTTCCACATTTCACTGTTTGAAAATCAGTTCTTGTGCCCTGTGTTTGAAAGAAACATTCCTTCCATAGCACTGACTCACTCTGGAGATCATATTTTCAGCAGGGTGATTATTGAAACATAAGAACAAAAGAAAGTTTACAAACAACAGGAGGGCATTCGTTTAATCTAGCCTGTTTGGTAGCAGCTATTTGATCTCCAGATCTCATCCAGTAATGTCTTGAAAGAAGCCTGGGTATCTTCTTCAACAACATGGCTGGGTAGCTTGTGCCATATTCCTATAGCCCTTTGGGAAAAACAGTACCTCTTATGCCATCTGGTTTTAAAGTTGAGTACTTCAGAGAAATCCTAATTATGGTGGAGTACAGCCCTAATTTGAATTCTTCTTCTTTATTAGTTTAACTTGCCTGGCTGTGTGAACAACAACCTCACCATGAGAATGAATGAGAATGTCAGAACTGCAGCAATGGCTAAAATGGGATGGAAGTAGGGATATGAAAACTAACTGCTCAACTGGGTAAGTATTGATATTACATGTAAGCAGAAGTAGATAAAATTAGGATGTGGCTTACTCCCATAATTTTATTTAACTTTCCGTAGTCCATATACTGTACCGTAAATGTACTGGATATATAATTTCAATTATACTTACTACAGTATGTTGATTTAGCTCACCTGGCTGAGAGAATGATAATCTGGCCATGAAGATAATGTTATTGGAGTCCCCAAAGAAGCAAATGGGTTCCCATAACTCTGATGCAGAATTATTAAATAACAAAGTCCAAATAGAATATGAATGAGGAATAAGAGTGAATGAAGAAAATGGGATATAAATGGTCCAGTAACATATCTGAGCTGATCTGGGTAGAGAGCTTAAGGTATGATGCTCTGCAGAGTACTGTTTTGAGCAAGGGTGACAAAGGGGTTACTGGAAAATAACTTCTGAATGAGTAAAGTTGTCTTCAGCAACTTCCAGGATCTTGATACCCAAGCAATAATCTGAAGTCTAAGGCAAAACAAGTGAGCAACTGCACATACTGTAAATTTCAACCTGGATGCAAGCAATCTGTTTAATCAAAACTATTCTGCCGAGAACAGAGCACGATACCATAGTTTTGTTGCAGTGCACAAACCATTCATCACACCATGTTTGTGAGTCTGGTAGTACAAAGAGCATAGGCAATGGACTACAGAGCAGTGAAGAAACATGATATGGTCAGATGAACATCCTTCGCCATATTCTTGACAAATGGATAAATCCCAGCGTGGTGACATCCTTAAGACCCCTACGGCCTTGAGTGTTTAGTTTCAACATTATGGAAAGGTTCTGGTGGTTCTATAATGTAGTGGGGAGCATTTCCTGTGCTGTGGGTGCGTTCATTCCCTTAGAAGACAAGGTAACTTGGTAACTGAAGCCTGAAGTGAGCGCACCCCAACAATCACTCCTCTGTCCTGTCACTTAGGTCTCCTCTTGCTTTCATGCTAGTCTAATGATAGGCAACCAGGCGTGCCCAACATTTTTATACACGATCCTAAACATGAGATGTTATGGGCTTAATTAAGAAATAGGTCACACCTATGTGGAAGTGACAAGGCTGTATATTGTCACCCTATTTGTTCAATTTATATGCTGAATACATCATGCGAATTGCCGGGTTAGATGAATCAAATGCTGGAATCAAAATTGCTGGTGGCCGAAAGTGAGGAGGAGTTGAGGAGTCTGTTGATGAAGGTAAAAGAAGAAAGTGCAAAAGCTGGCCTGCTGCTTGACAAAAAAAACCCGAAGATTATGTCAAGGGGCCATATTTATCCTTTGCAAACAGATGGAGAAGAAGTGAAGGTAGTGACAGATTTTGTTTTCTTGGGCTCAAGGATCTCAGCAGATGGTGATTGTAGCCATGAAATCAAAAGACACTTGGTTCTTGGGAGGAAAGCTATGGCAAATCTGAATAAGATATTAAAGGGCAAAGATATTACATTGTCAACAAAGATCCGTATATTGAAAGCTATGGTCTTCCCTGTAATAACATGTGGATGTGAGAGTTGGACTATAGGTAAGGCTGTGCATCGGAAAATCGATGCTTTTGAACTGTGGTGTTGGAGAAAATTGAGAGTTCCTTGGAAAGAGATCAAATGAGTCAGTACTCAAGAAAATAAACACAGATTGATCATTGGAAGGATTGATAGTAAACCTAAAACTCAAATACTTTGGCCATATAATGCGAAGACAGGATTCACTGGAGAAGACTCTGAAGTTGGGAAAGATTGAAGGTAAAAGAAGAAGGGGGCAGCAGAGGTTAAGATGGATAGATAGTATTACTGAAGTAATGAATATGAATGTGCAAGAGCTCAGAGAAGCAGTTGTTGACAGACAGGTCTGGCATGCTAAAGTCCATGAGCTCTAGAAGTGTCGGACTCGACTTAACGACTAAACACGTGAAAGCCTTCCCTTTCAATATACGTGCTGTCCCTCATTTAACCCAGTGTTTCATTTTTTTCGTCTACTGCCTGTGTGTTGTTGAAATACCAAAGATGTCATTCCTGTGCCTAATGTACTGAGCAGATTTATTGCTAATATTTTATTGTATAAAATACTTTCAACAGATCCTGCAAAATAGCAGGCTTATGATCTTCAAATTGTCTCATGAAAGTTCCCATGCTGTTATGTTGTTTAACTGGAGTGTAAAAATCTTGATTTTTGGAAAATCAAAGCCAGGAAAACACACAAGGCACTGACCTATTAGTAAGCAATGGTACATACCTGTTCCACTCTGATTTCATACTCTCCATTCAGCTTTTTTCCACGGAAGTACTTGGACCTACAAAACAGAGAGAGTTGTAGTGTCAAAAAAAGCTATGTAGAGATTCATCAAAATGAATTGTGATTCAAAGAATAAAATAATCAAAGAATGTAATCATTAAATTGAATTTCTGTGGTTATGTCAACAAATATTCTAGCATTCCAAAAATTCCAGGGAAACATCAGTTTAAAATTATACATTGTGAAAGGTAGACAAGAAATTAAAGACAGAATGAGCCCTAAAACAGCATGACCTTTTACATTTTTTTTTAGTTGAAACATATCAGATGGTTACCTTTCTTTTCTTGTTTTTGAATTTCTAAGTAAATGCTGATTTGTTGGTAGGAATTGTTTTCTGCACAGATTATTTTGTAACTGCTAAACATCTGAAATGTTTTCTATTATAACACATTGAAAGCACTGAGCTGTGTTTTGTAATGCAAGTCGAAGCCAGAACTAAAATCATGTGAGCATAAAGAAAACCGTATATTTCATTATAAGGCAGTTCCTCCTTATAGTTTTCTCTTCTGAAAGTGCTGGGACATCCTATAAGAGGTGAATTCATTAGGTTTGAGAACTTTATTTTGTTAGATACACTATTTTTATATTAAACGATTTACAGATGTAGATTATTATTAGGTGTGTACCCACTTTCCCTTGTTTCACCTGTGTTTATAAACATATGATCGAGTTTAAAAATGTTTTACTGCTCTTGCTTACTTGTACTGCTAACAAAATAAATGTGATGGAATAGTATGGCAAACTCATACATCCATTTTAGGATTAAACATAATTAAGTCATATGAACAAGTAAAGGTTTATTCTATACTGAAAAAAGAAGAAAAGAAACATAATGTTTCAGCTGTGGAGCCTTCTTCAGGTGCCATAATTAGGCCATATGGTGATTGACAATAAAAATAATTTTGATAGCCATGACTGGTGAAAGGTTGAACTGAGGGTTTATGGGCTTTTTCAGATATCACTGAAAAGCTACAAATTAGTAAAGTAAAGCTACAATAAGTTGGAAATAAAGCTTAAACTTGGCAATATTAAAATGTAAAAGTTATTTATACACCTAGAGGAGTATTGTTACAATCTAGGTCTTCAAAAGAAGAATGACCATTTCCATTTATAATGAATGATACAGTGATTGCGGATGTCTTAGTCACCATAACAATACCCTACACAGCATTAATTTAATTAATAAGAATGAAAGGCTCATTCCTGAAAGAGTCTCTTCATGTTAATCCTGACTATAAGCCTCTGTTTCAAATGTGAACAAGGCTTCCTTGGTGGCCTTAGTAGAAGCGTTTACTATTTGTCAGATGTCTTCACTATTTCTAAAGCAAGAGAAAGATGGGATATGGAAAAGTAATACTTCTCATCTGCCCAATGCAAAAATCCTGTGGCCTTAATAATTGGACAGATCAGGTCTCACGTAGCAAAAGGTCAAATCCTTTAAAAATTCAGTGACAGTGTACAGGGAAAGTATCTCCTCATGAGCCAAACTGTGTATCAGGATTGTGGCACTGATAAAATAGGGCTGTGAGAAGCAAAAAGGCAAGGTTTCCCCAGATACCCAGAAAACTCCCTGTGGAATGCCCAAGTAGAATCCTAAAGGCCAACTTTGTTCACATAATGTAGGTTTTATTCTTAATGGTCTGAGACAACTACCTCACTTAAAGCAACATACAGAGCTGTAAGTGTGCTTTAACAGTGTCTTAGCTACAAAGCTTTAAGATTAGATAAAACGGGACTCAACAATCTTCCAACATACCTGTCCTTTATGAATTAACTCTATAACAGAAAATAAATCACAGATGTGGCTAGAGAGTTTTGAATGATCACAGACAGCATATTACTTAACTGTCTTCTGCACCTATAGTACAACAGGGTTCAATTGCAATCACACACAAAAGAATATGTTTACCTCTAAGTAAAGTAATTTTGTGGTATAGGGATTACTCAGACCAGGGATGGGCACCTCTGGTCCTTGATGGCCAGGTTTTATATGAAATTTTAACTGATTTAAGAACTAAAGAAGCAGGTGATATGACCAGTGATAAACAAATAATTAGTTTAATTAATCAAGATGAAAGGAAAAACTCCATGACCCTAGAGACTAGAGTAGTCCATCTCTGGCACAGACTATAATTATATGCAAAACTTAAGACAAGTTACACTGTTTTTTTTCATACCATTTTAAATATGTACAGTTTCCATTTTGCTCTTTCAATGAAAACATTTGGGCATCAAACATAAAATAATAATAATAATATAATAGAGTGAAGACCAGACAGTGTTTCAGTTAGCCTCTTCTAACAATTCATCAAAAACAACAATGAAAAAGGTTGGTCAGGTGCTGTATTTACTTTAGAATTTGTGTTACACATGTTTAGAAGTGGAAAAACATAACAGAAACGATATTACCACCTGATAAGAGCGTGATTGTGTACCTATTGCCTTCACATTGAAAAATGTAATTCACTTTAACAGAACCTTTGATAAGTCTATTTAAAAATACTGTTAATACTTTGGGCCCTACACTCAAGAAGAAAAATGTAAACATAAACTTCTCCCATTAAAAGGTTATGCTTCATCCATCTATCACTGATAAACACCGCTATTAACCTTTCAGGTCAAAACAACTGTATTAAAACTTCTGCTAGAATACATTAAGGTAAAGAGAAGTGCCACATTAACACATCAATAAATAACAGCAATATATACAGTACACTATATCAGCATAGCAGTACTACTGAAGATAATGATATTGTGCTTTTCCTGGCAAATTTCCTTTGGAAGCAAAGAACAGTTCAAGCAGGAATATATATAACAATTGCACCATGTTTCACTATGTAGGCAAGTCCTTCAATTCTGGTGACCAGTAGCACTGTGCCAAGGTACTGACTACTGTTTTATTAAAGATTTCATGGCACTTTTTGAAAGAACAGGTTGTTAACCATGGTGTCCTGGCAAAACTCCACTCTGAGCTTATACAACATGGCTTTCATATAGCCACTCTTAATTCAAATGGTAAAGCATTTTCTCTTTGTGATCTGCCATGTGATGAGGTTGTTGGCATATAATGGCTTTTGCACAACACACATATGGGTGCTGCACTTCAGATGTCCATTTAATGGCTCGTTTCCTATATGTAAAGGAACATAAAGTGCTTAGAGATTCATTTTGAGATGTTATGCTTTTTGAGATATCTTTACTATTAAATATGTTTCTGTATATTGAGAAAAAACTCATATACATTTATCAAATATAATGAAAAGGAGACTATAAAGGTACACAGATGACCAGGATTGCACAAGCAGGACTTCTGTGTAATTCTAAAAGGTTCCTGTAAACTGCTTGGATGAGTTTATTTTTAATAAGAATCATTAAAAAAGCAGTGTTTGACCACCTTGTAACCTAAAATGAACAGTTCTCAGAAGCAACGACTATTAATGGACCATTTGTAGGCACTCTTCCTTCTAGAGCAGAATATACAAATGAATGCTTGCACTGTGTTCCCCCTCTCTAAACTAAGACTGCTCAGGGAACAATTTACTGTATGTTTCCTTTTGGTCTCTAGGTGACCACCTCTTTTATCCCTTACTCTAACACCTCTGATCCCATTCAGTCAACTTAACAATGTCAAGTGTTTTCAATGTTATTCTATTGACACAGGAGCCAAAATACATAATGCTAAATACTAAATACATAAGAGCTAAATACATAATGGATGGGACCACTGGATGAAGGGAGATCCAACAGCCTTGTCTGAAAAATCATATTGCTGATCTGGTGAATTCTGGGCTATTTCTTTAGGATTAGCTAGCAAATGGTATTCTTTAGATATTGTTACAGATAGGAGATTACAAAAATAGAGAATATCAGAAGTAGTCGAGCAAATTAATCAATCAATAAATTAAATAATCATAACTCCCAAATAGTAAAGATTTTACCAGAGAGGTTGGTATAAGAGGAGGCACCTGGGTTTTTTTCTCTGGCACATCTTTGGTGAAAATAGTAATACTTCAGGCACACAGAGTTAAACATTTATTAATAATGGAACGAGTAAAGGTTTGTTCCATGCTAAAGAGAGAAGAAAAGAAATAAACCTTTACCTGTTCCTTTCCAGCCTATGCATTCTCACGCAACTACCTACTTGAACTATTTATTCATAATGACAATGACAGACTAAACAACACACAACATAAACATACTGTACAACATAAAGTGACATTATTTACAAACAAGGTTTCCCAGAGGCCTGTGTCCTAACAACCCCAGACTGCTACAAAGTATTAAACTTTTATATAATACATAGGCCATCCGAAGAGCTCAAGCTGCTTTCTAAACCAACATAACATAACCTACAGTTAAATCTCTTTCGATATAAATGCTAAAAAGAGAATGGGAAGCCTCCATGTTCTAGAAAATTGCATCCACTAAGAGAGTCCAATTTTAGCCAGAGGGTTCTTTACACAAGAAATGGGAGTTTCCTAAAAACAGCAGAATGGCAAGCTTTTTTAACAAGGTTCCAATACGCAACTCAAATCTGATTTTTTCTGGTAATCTGGACAAGGAGCTCTCACCTTCTGTCTTCCTACTCTCACCACTCTGTCCCATTTCTCCTTGTCCTTCTCTCTTTTCTCTCTGTACCTGCCTGTTTTTATGCTTGACTGTTGATTTACACTTTAATCATTTACCCATAACTTAATTAAGTTCTTTTAATTAAGTTCTTTGATCAATGTGTATCTTACCCAGCACCATAGTAAACACCATAGTTCTTTCCTTGTTTTGATGGTCTTATAACATCAAACTTTTACCATACCCAGGTGTTAACTACAGTGTATAGATTATTTTCAATAATCACTTACTTAATAGCTGTAACAATATATATATTTTCAATTTACAATCACAGTTCCATCCCCTGAGAAGTCATCTAAGAGTTCCCACTGTCAAATGCATTTATGCCCTTTTTCTACTGACACACCCAAACAGAGATGGTGCCAAACACTC